TATCGAAACTCAAAAATTCGACCCGAAAAAAAATGACAGTGGTACCCCTTTCGTTTTTTTTTTCGGGTGAAAAATTAAGTTTCTCCAATCTTCTCAAAACTCTGGATTCTGATAGAGGGCCATGAGACTTAGACCTGAGTGCAAAAATGGAGCCTCTAGACCCTTCCAGAGCTGAGATATCGAAACTCAAAAATTCGACCCGAAAAAAAAAACGACAGTGGTACCCCTTTCGGGGTTTTTTTCAGGCGAAAAATTAAGTTCCTCCAATCTTCTCAAAACTCAGGATTCTGATAGAGGGCCATGAGACTTAAACCTGAGTGCAAAAATGGAGGCTCTAGACCCTTCCAGAGCTGAGATATCGAAACTCAAAATTTCGACCCGAAAAAAAAAACGACAGTGGTACCCCTTTCGTTTTGTTTTTTTTCGGGCGAAAAATTAAGTTTCTCCAATCTTCTCAAAACTCTGGATTCTGATAGAGGGCCATGAGACTTAAACCTGAGTGCAAAAATGGAGGCTCTAGACCTTTCCAGAGCTATGCCTTTATTAGTAAATGAAATCTAAGCCTTTATTAATATACTTTATTATTTTTAAGACATTTATAAAAATGCCTTCTATATTTCTTTTCACCCCACTGTACTCCACTACAGGCGACTGCACGTACGGAATTGACACTTGGTTATTGTCATTTCACCATATTTTTTAACAGAAATATTACTGTGTATTTTCAGTTTTAGTTTATATTTCCATCGTAAGTTTGGTATTAAATTTAATTTAGAAGTGGTATTAAAAAGTCTTAAAAAGTCTTAAATTTAAATTGTTGATCCCTGTAGCCACCCTGATTACATTTCTGAACGTTGTTGATGAACATCATTTCCAAAGGACGAGGCTTATGCTGTTTGTTAAATCTCTCTTATTTCTAGAAATTCAATCATCATACGAACTCACTCAGTTTCTGTGACTTGCATATTTTTACATATATTACAGTTTTTTTTTTATCTGAAACTTTTCTATATTTAACTGTAAATTGAAAAGGCCATTCAAACTTTAAAGGTGCAGTAATTTTTTCATTGTGATGGAGATTCAAGTCATATCACTCTTCGTAAAAAATAAAAATGGAATTTTAACAATTAATTCCAGTTAAAGCAAATGTTATTTTTGATAATTGTGTGTGTCAGGCAGAACACACTGGAACCTGTGCTCTTCATACCCTATTGAAAAAGCAATACAATTTGCTTTAAGCAAAGTTAAACCAGTGACCTTCTGTGACTGTGGCCACACCAAATGACACTGCAATAAAATGGCTGTTATTAATGGCATACATACTACTATTAATGTTTTATTTTCAGTATAGTATGGTAAATATTGTGTGCATGCTACAAATATATTCAGTATGCATTGAATAACTGGATGGTCTGCAACAGAACAAAATCGCGCTGCGGGAAGGCATAACGGGAAACCCAGGCTACATTTTTACAGTGTATGGATAGCAGATTGGTATATTCA